TGGACATTTTAAAGATGTTGATTCTACCAATCCATGAACATGGTATGTTCTTCCATCTGTTTATGTCTTCCTCTATCTCTTTTCTCAATGTCCTGTAGTTTTCTGAGTAGAGGTCTTTTACCTCTTTAGTTAAGTTTATTCCTAGGTATCTTAATTTTTTTGGTGTGATGGTAAATGGAATTGCTTTTTTAGTCTATTTTTGTAAGTTCACTATTGGTGTATAGAAATGCCATAGATTTCTTGGCGTTAATTTTGTATCTTGCTACATTGCCGAATTCATTTATCAAGTCTTTAGGGTTTTTTATGTACAATATCATGTCATCTGCGAATAAGGACAGTTTTACTTCTTCTTTTCCAATTTGGATGCCTTTTAGATTTACTTTTTTATACACACACATATAAAACCCATTTTGTGTACACACACACACACACACACACATGCACACTGCAACAGTGTAGCTTCTATATGCTCTCTCAGATCACTCATTTTGAGGGAAGTCAGCTACCCAGTAGTAGTGAAGATGCTCAGGCAGCCTTACAAGGAGATACACATAGTCAGAAACAGACCTCTTGCCTCACTAACTTGCTCCAGCAACTATTTGGATGGAGCATGTAGGTACCTTCATCCATGTGAGTGAGCTACCTTGGAAGCTGACCCTCCAGCCCCAGCCAGCCTTTAGACTGCAGCCCCCACTGACATTGTGGCAGCAACCTCTTAAAGATCCCAAGCCAGAACCGCCCAACCAAACCACTCTAGATTCAAACAGAAACTGCAAAAACTGTATGAAACATTTCATTGTTCTTTTAAGCCACTATGGTTTGGAATTAATTTATTATGTAATAATAGTTAACTAATAGATATATCAACATGGGAAGGGATGTAGGAGAGAAACTGATCCAAGGTTGAGGACTGTTTTAGGGTTTATGTGGAAGAACAGAGGTGGTTGAATGAATTTGAAAATGCTGATGAGACTGAGTTTTAATTAAATAATAGGGTTCAGAGTAGAAAGTAAAGCCGGGGAGGACAACAGACCTGGAACTGAGACTGTAAATTTCAACAGCAGATTTCACTGAAGTTGAAGAGCAGGTTTGGTGAGGGTAAAGGAGTAAGAAATCCGGAATAAAAGAAAGTTTTGTTTAGAATGTGGAATACCTTGGTTATTGGTTTCAGAGGTGGAACAGTTCTGGAGAAAAAAGTAGAGGAAGAACAGGAGATAGTCACATAAGTGGATCCTGGAATGGCAGTGCTGGGGAAAGGTTTATACACCTCCTTTGAGTACACATGCAGACAGGAGAATGGGGAAACCTAAGCTGATGACAGCAGACTGTTGAAAAACTTTCTCCCTAAGATCCCTTCATCCCTAGTGATGGAATGAAGGTGGAATGAAGTTTGCATGGCTTGATGGTGAAAGCCCCAATGCAGTGATAGCTGGTCTGGAAGTTGTACTGACAAGTTAGGAGAATGCCAGCCTTACCTTTTGGCTCACAATATTGAAGATGGGGGGAGAAAGTTTCTCTGCATTGGCATTAGTTTGCTTATAAAAAAGCTGGAACTTTGTTGGCAACTGGGAGCCACCGGAGTTTTATGCAGAGGGGTGACATGATGAGCTTTGATTTTTAGAAAGCTCACCTGACAGCACTGTAGCACGGTGGATGCACTGCACAAGGAGTACTGAGATTCCTTTGGGAGAAAGGGTTGGTAAAAAGGTCCATTCCACATAGGTGATGAGGTCTTATCATTAGCCCACCAAAACAATGGGGTCAGCTGTGTAGGAAGTAGAGACTACAGTGAAGGAAAGGAGTAAAGGCAGTGGCCAGACTTTCACCTCCTTTCTGAAGCTGTTCTAGCACTTCTTATCCTGCATTGTTCAAAGCACTTTTTCCATTGAATCTGGATATGTAATTGCCAGTTATCCCCAGTTTACTTCCTTCTTTCTCTTCTGTCCCCCAAATCCACTCACCTTGCTCTATTTAATATTCTACTTGCTTATTTTATTACTTTTAAAAAATATTTTTATTGATTTCAGAGAGGAAGGGAGAGGGAGAGATAGAAACATCAATGATGAGAGAGAATCATTGATTGGCTGCCTCCGACACACCCTACTGGGGATTGAGCCCACAACCCAGGCCTGTACCCTGACTGGGAATCAAACTGTTACCTCCTGGTTCATAGATCAATGCTCAACCACTGAGCCATGCTGGCCCGGCTCTACTTGGTGTTTTTTTTTAATTTTTTTTTTTTTGGTCTTGCTATTCCCATTTTTAGTACACACCTCAGCTAAACCAGTGTGGTAATAAAAACTTTCTGAAGGTAAAAATCTAAGGGCAGTGTGGTACAGTGGAATGTGCAGCATCCTGTAACTTGAAAGGGCTGGTTTCTAGTCCCAGGCCTGCCATGAAATTCCCGTATGATTTTGGTTAACTCATTTGACTTCTTTGGAACTCAGTTCTTTTTCATTTAGAAAATAAATTGCTAAGGTCTTATCCATTTCGATTTGCATACCTGTACAATACTATAGGTCAGTGATGGCGAACCTATGACACGCGTGTCAGAGGTGACACATGAACTCATTTTTTTTGGTTGATTTTTCTTTGTTAAATGGCATTTAAATATATAAAATAAATATCAAAAATATAAGTTTTTGTTTTACTATGGTTGCAAATATCAAAAAATTTCTATATGTGACACGGCACCAGAGTTAAGTTAGGGTTTTTCAAAATGCTGACACACCGAGCTCAAAAGGTTTGCCATCACTGCTATAGGTTAACATATTTTCATGACAACAGTGAAATCTACCTTGTCTAATGTAGCACTACAAAATTAGAACAGTGCATACACATCTTGAAGAAGCCCGTTTTAAGAAACCTGCTTAATAAATAGAGTAATAAAGTTTGAACAGGTATTGCACTCCTATACATTTTCCCAGATTAGAATAGTTATGTTTAGTAGGATAAGTCCTACTTTTCCTCCTTTGGAAGTGGAGGGTGGCTCTCATTTGCTTTACCACACATCTCCTGAAGTAAAAGTGCCTTCGCTTGAAGTCACGGCTCTGCTACTTACCAGCTTGTTACCTTGGGCAAACTACTTAACCTCTATGTTTCTTCATCCATAAAATGGGGGTAATACTGTATCTCATATTGTGGAGATTAAACAAGTTAATGTATGCAATAGCATTTGGAATAGAGAAGGCCCTCGATAAGTATTAGCTATTATTCTTGTGCTGGGCACTAGTGTGCATAGATCTGGTCTCTCTCCTTAAATCATTCAAATGACTGTAACTCAATATTTTGAGTTCTGTAACAAGATGTGTAGTAAGTGATATAGGAGCAGAGGAGGGAATGCCTGTCTCATCCTTGAAAGAAAGGTAGGGGCAGGATTAGCTTCTTGAGGGTGAAGTTTGATCCTTAAGGAAGATAATTTAATTTGGGAAATACGGAGCAGCCAGGGGCAGCGTGGGGAAGGCCATGGCTACAAAAGACAAATATGGCTAGGAGGAGAGGGAGGCTACGTGATAGATTATAGGTACTTGATGCCAAAGCATCAACATCGCTTGAAAGCTTGTTAGAAATATAGGATCTTAGGCTCTACCCAGACCCACTCAATCTAAATTTGCATTTTAGCAAGATCCTCAAATGGTTCCTGTTGAACATTAAGGTTTGAGAACCACTGGTCTAGAGGAGGTTCTGGAGCCAAGCTTCTGAGGTTTAAATCCTGGCTTTCCCCTCTACTTACCATGGGCGACTTTAGACAAGCTATTTCATCTCCTTCCTATGCCTCCATTTCCTCCTTCAAAGTTCCTACCTCATAAAATTAAGGACTAAATGAATTAACATGTGAAATGTTTAGGACAGTCCTGGCACCTCATCAGCTATAATTCTTGACTAATAGGCTACTTATCATGGTCAGGGTTGATTTGATAAGCAGCCTGTCTTTCCCTTTCTCCTCCAGCACCGGTCACCTTGACGTTGGTTGTAGAGGAAGACACCTGGCAACTAGAAGACCTGGGGTTATGAAGCCCAGCCCCCTTCAAATCCCAGCTTTGTGACACTGGGTACGTTCTTGAATATCTGTGTTCTTCTCATTCATGGTAGGGAGGAATCTTAATTATACCTGCCTCACTGAGATGCTGTGAGGCTCAACTCAAAGAATGTACTTTAAACCGAAAAACCCATGAAGGTTTCATTCATCACCTTTCCAAGAGTCTTAAGGAATTGGACTGGAAACAGGTGGTCCCTCAAATGAGTGGGAAATAGATGGAAGAGGACGCGTTGAAAGATCAGAGGGGGGGGGGGGGGAGCTGGGGACTGCGTGTCCCACTTGATGACTTCCTGCAGGGCAGGCGTGGGTTTTACGGTAACCATTTTCCTGGACCTCGGGGCATTTGTAGCTAATGGAAAATAGTAGGACACTTAAATGGGGTTCTTCAAGTTCTCTTTCTAACCTACAGCACCATTCAAGAACATGAACAGCCCTAGCTGCTTTGGCTCAGTGGATAGAGCAGGGGTCCTCAAACTACGGCCCGTGGGCCACATGCAAATACAAATATTGTATTTGTTCCCGTTTTGTTTTTTTACTTCAAAATAAGATATGTGCATTGTGCATAGGAATTTGTTCATAGTTTTTTTTTTAAACTATAGTCTGGCCCTCCAACGGTCTGAGGGACAGTGAACTGGCCCCCTGTTTAAAAAGTTTGAGGACCCCTGGGATAGAGCGTCAGCCTGTGGACTGAAGGGTCCCAGGTTCCATTCCGGTCAAGGGCACATGCCCGGGTTGTGGGCTCGATCCCCAGTGGGGGACCTGCTGGAGGCAGCCGATCCATGATTCTCTCTCATCATGGATGTTTCTATCTCTCTCTCCCTCTTCCTTCCTCTCTGAAATCAATAAAAAAAAAAAATATATATATGTATATAAAGAACATGAACAGTCTCACACATTTGCATAGTGTCCACAATTTACAAATTAACTGTTTTTCTCCGTGTTATCACAACATCCCCGCAGGGTAGTACTGACCTCATTTTTTTTTTCAAGGAAACTTTGTTAATATCAGAAAGCATATTAAAAACCTCTTTGACTTGAGCATTTTGTTGTTGTTGTTGTTACCAGTTCCTATGTTTCCACAAGTACAAAATGTAAGAGGGAGGGCAATCACAACATTTGACGGAATCTTCAATACCAGGGACTGACTTCGATTTTATGGCCGCGAATCATCGTATACTGGGCCCCTTTTCTCATCTGTAAAACAGGGACAACGACACCTTCTTCACAAAACTGTCCTGTAAGAACCAAAGCTAAAGGGTGAACCTACCAGCTTATAGGGCCTCAAATAAACCCCTTCTCCTTCTCGCTTCTGACAGACACAGCACGAGACAGCACTATCACTCCCACTGCACAGGCGGAGAAACCCGAATTCCAGGACGCTTAGGGTCCCCTTCTCCGCAATCCCGCAACCCCCTGAACAGGTACAAGCCACCTGTGCGGTCCACTACATCGATACATCGATACATCGATTCTTATAGCGCAGGTTAACTCTCCCGAGTTGCGTCGGGGGGAGGGGGAAGAGTTAAAAGCAGCTGATAATTGCTCCCAAGACTCCCAAGAATCTGATCCTAATCCTCCACGTCACTTCAGGGACGTCGCTGCTCCCCTTCCAGCCCTAACCTCGCTTGGAGTAAAGGTCGCGGACACACCACGGTTCCAGCTACCTACGCCATTTTGGTCGCTACGTGTGACGCAGTACGTAGCAGAGAGCGCAGCTGATTGGCTGGGAGATGGCAGCCGGAGGCCAGGCGCGCGAAGCCGGATCGGAGGGGATGGAGGAGAAGCCAAGGAAACTACAATCCCAGTCCCCCTTGCGCGTGCAGCAGCCGACCGAAGAGTTTGGGTTCGGACCACAACTCCCAACGCCCCTCGCGATGTCTCGTTTCCTTTCAAAACGCGGAGGAAAAGAGGAACGGGGAGAAACGAGGCCTTCTGCGGGCTTTTCTCCCAAAGGCGGGAAAGGCGAACTACATTTCCCGACCGGCAGCGCGCAGCTGCGCCTGCGCCCTGATACCTGTCGCCATCTTGCCCCTTCTGAGGCACCGCAAACAAACCCAATTCCTGGTGTCCCCTAGTCTTGGCGGAGGAGCCTTTTAGATGAGCCCCGAAAGGCCGGGCAGGTGGGTGACTCTCAGACAGGGTGCCGGGAAGAGCTGGCAGATTAGCCAGGCTGGAGGAGCCCTGGGCTGAGCAGGCAGAGCCCGGCTTGGGGCGCCCAGCCCCATCCTCCGTTGTCTCCTAACGGGATCGTTGGGTTCCCGAGGTGGGCTGAGGGGGACTCTGGCAGGCCTCGTGCTGGGGGATCTGGGGTTCCAGCCCAGGGAGCCTCCTGGTGAGTCTCGGTCATCTGCCTGGCTGTCCACGCGCCTCCTCTCTCTCCGTTGTCCTCTCCGCAGAGGAGGGAGCGAAGCGCTGAGGTTGGCCGGGGCCCCTGACAGCGCTGCTGGCCCAAGAAGGGCTTG